TTTCTTCCTTTCTTCCTTCCTTCCTTCCTTCCTTCCTTCCTTCCTTCCTTCCTTCCTTCCTTCCTTTCTTCCCTCCCTCCCTCCCTCCCTCCTTTCTTTCTTTCTTTTTCTTTCTTTCTTCTCTCTTTCTTTTTCGATACAGGGTTTCTTTGTGTAGCCTTGGCCCTGGATCTCCCTCTGTAGACCAGGCTGACCTCGAACTCACAGAGATCTGCCGCCTCTGCCTCCCAAGCCACTGCCTGGCTGGCCACTTACTTTCTGTGTGGCCAGTTCTTAGGCAAATTCTTCCAGTCTGGGACTTGATAAAAGCAGTTTTGTCCTATTGTCTAAATGGAGTGTTAGAAGGAGGAAGTACCGTGTTTGAGTTCCTAGAGAAACTTAACAAAGCTTGACTTCACTGGCCCCTCCTTATCTCCCTCCCACCACTCTGTGCTATCCAGTCTGTTCCAGTCTGTTCCCTCTTCCTTTTCTCCCTGATTCTTGTTTTTCCCAATTGCCATTTCCTCCTTTCTACCCTGTCCTTCCCTCCACCCTCACAATACCTTGTTGATGCTGCCATAGGGCTGAGTACAGGGTTTGGGGACAGAGATAACAAAAGGTTTCCCATGGCTGCAGTGGCCCAGGTAGACAGAGGGTTTCCAAAGCAGAACTCCAAGGGCAGTTTTACTAATTCTCTGTCCTCTGCCTCCTTTCTTTCAGAAAAGGAAGCAGTGTCGGATCACATTTGATACCATGGACTTTGCTGCAGAGGAGGTGTGTGGGCTGCTGACTTTTCCCTGTGTGGGGGTCGGGGGGGGGTCTGGAGGTGTGTGGGGTGCTTACTTTTCCCTGTGTTGGGGTCGGGGTGGGTCTGGAGGTGTGTGGGGTGCGGACTTTTCCCTGTGTGGGGGTCGGGGTGGGTCTGCTCTTCTGTCTGTTTCAGGGTGGAAGAAGCCCTACACAAAACTGGTTTTAGTTCAGGTCCGCCCACACTCGTGGCACTTTGAAGTAGCCATTCCATTTCTGGTCATAGCGATCCTGTCTCCTGGCCCTAGCCCACCAACTGTTACCACTGTTTAGATGAGGAGGGCCAATCCGGGGGAGTTTCTGGGTTCGGACTCATGGGAAATCAGCAGAAAGCAAAACTGAGGACGTGATAGGCCCGGACAGAGGAGAATAAAACCAGGTGGTGGGAAGAATGGCCTGTTGGTGAATTCTGGTTTGCCCTGAGCTCTCTGAGGGATTCTGACATAAATGTCCCCCTCCTGTGTTAGAAGTCCTTCAAGTGGCAGTCCCACTGTGACAAGAGAAGGTCTTAATATCTGTGTGGGTCTTTGGGCTGTGTGATGTGGTCTCTGGGCTCAAGAATCATTATTACCCTCTTTTTTTTTTTTTTTTTTTTAGACAGAATTTCTCTGTTTAGCCCTGGCTGTCCTGGAACTCACTTTATAGACCAGGCTGGCCTCGAACTCACAGAGATTTGCCTATCTCTGCCTCCCAAGTGCTGGGATTGAAGGCATGCATCACCATGCCTGATATCTTCCTCTCTTCTAACCTTCAAATCCTGGATATTAAATAAAAATTGGATATCCAATTTTAAATGTGAAGGAGCCTGTCTGATTGTAGGAACCAGTCACATTCTCAGTGGCTCAGACCTGACTTGACCTAGGTCTGTAGTAGCCATTTGGGCTAGTCTCTGAGGAAAGAGGGGGAGCAGAACTTTCTAACTGGTGCTGGAGCTACCTGTGCCCATCCCATGCTCCACCCCCACCCCTTTGGAGGTGTGGGTCCTGGTACTTGGCCCTCCTGGACAGTCCAATTTCTCATGCCCCCTCCTTGGTGAAACATAGTAAGGAAGTCTTCTAAATTCTGTGTTCCTTCAGTTTTTCAGATGAGTCGATGCCTGATGCTAGCCATGGAAGGGTTACCAAAATTTTGCCCCGATTCATTCAGGGCAAACCAGGGACCCTCTCTAAACACAACAGAACTCTAGAACTGAGGGACATTCTGTGCACAGGAGTCAAGAAAAGGAAGAGGGCTTCCGAAGGAATATCCTCAGTGGCTGCCATAGCCTATAGCTAGTGAGTCAGGTCTTATTGGTCCCAAACAGAAGAATGTGTTAGCCGAGCCAAGGACAACTCTCCCCGAGTTACGTGTTCGTGCTGGGGACCACGAGGTCCTGGAGCAGGGATAACCACATACCCTGCCTTGGAAGGTGGCAGAGCTATTGATTTTCTGAGTTTCTTCACCAAATGGGAACAATTCTTGGGCTGGATGAAGATGCAGTGAGCTGGGTATGTAGACGCTCACTCTGATGCTCGGCACACCGCCCTCAGTCCATGTTAACCACTACTGTGTGTGGAACAGAAACCATACAAGCAAGAATATGGAGAGTTGCTAGCTAGAATCCTCTGGCTGTGTCTCCCCAGGGTCACCTCCCTCCCAGGGCCATTCATATCACACAGAAGCAGCCGTCCTGGAGGACAGATCAGGAGATCCAAGCCCTCTGCAATGTTCTCCAGGTTCTAGATTGCTACCGCAACTATGCAGAGGCCCTGCAGCTGCTCCTGGCCAAGGTCATGCGCTTTGAAAGGTCAGTTGAGAGACGCACAGCCCCTGGCTCCCGGACTAGGGTGGGACTAGGCAGGAGGACCCCGGATGGAAAAGACATGGCAGGTCACCTGAGTGCTTGTTGGTGAGGGCAGCAGCCTAGCTTAGTCACTTTCTGAGAGTCCTCCAGTCACAGTCATGGAATCTGAAACGATCTAACAGGGGTTCTGAACTGAGCTAGTCCAACTTACACACCTGTCAGATGCAGAAATGAGGGTCAGAGAGGGAGAACACTCACCCTAGTCACTGTGTCTTAGTCCATTTTCTGTGACTAGTAATGTACTAGTTATACACAAAATAGACTTTTGGCTTACAGTCTGGGTCAAGGGCAAGGACCCACGTCTGGTGATGACCTTCTTCCTGGCAGAGCCCCAAGCATCATATGGTGAAAGTCAGGGAGCCTATATAATATCCTTCGGTTTTTCTTCTTAAGAAGCTACCAGCAGCCAGGTGGTGGTGGTGCCTTTAATCCCAGCACTTGGGAGGCAGAGGCAGGCGGATCTCTGTGAGTTTGAGGCCATCGGCCCAGTTTTATCTAATCCTAATGACTTCCTAAGGGCCTGGGATTAAGTTTCCACTCTCAATACCTTACAATGGACCACAAACTCCAGCTAGAGTTTCCAAGGGACAAATTATATTCAAATCAAGCACACACACACACACACACACACACACACACACACACACACACACGGTAGATAAATGAATAAATGTAATGAAAACATAAGGTGAAGAATGACCAAAGCAGGTGGTGGTGACACACACTTTGATCCCAGCACTCCAGAGGCAGAGGCAGGTAGATCTCTGTGAGTTCGAGGTCAGCCTGGTCTACAGAGTGAGTTCTAGGATAGCCACGGCTGTTACACAGAGAAACCCTGTCTCGAAAAACCAAACCAAACAGACAAACAAACAAAACAAAATGAATAACCAAGGGAGACACCCTCTGGCCTCCATACGCATATCCATGTGTAGCTATTCCCACACCCACATGTGCACAAGCAAACAAGTATCTACACACACGCAAGAAAACATACTACATTTCACGTAATGTTCAAGTTGCAGATTTTCCAAAGAAATATATTTATCACATCTTTAATTACAAGTGTTGACCTCCCGCTGGGTCCTGTTTTTCAGTGCCTGAATGAAGATCTACTCATATTGCATAGCCTAGATGTAGGGGGGGGGGGGAAAGTTTTTTTTTTTCCTTTTTTTTTTTTTTTTCTTGTTTTGGTTTTTCAAGACAGGGTTTCTTTGTGTAGCCCTGGCTGTCCTAGAACCCAGACTGTCCTCAAACTGATAGCGATCCATCTGCCTCTGCATCCCAAGTGCTGGGATTAAAGGCTTGTGCCACCACCGCTCTGCTAATTTTACTATTTTTAAAGGTGTGTTTTATTTTCAGTTGTGTGTGTGCTCGGGCTCTCATGGAGGTCAGAGACTTCAGATCCCCTAGAACTAGAGGTTCCTTGGGCATGGTGGCTTGGTGGCCAGTCTCATAAGAAGGACGGTACTAGAATAGGTAAGGGCTGGTGTGATGGCTCCGTGAGTCAAGTGTTTGCCTCCAAGCCTGACCACCCAAGGTCCATCCCTTGGACCCACGCGGTGAAGGGAGAGGCAACCCCTGTGAGTCGCGCTCTGGCCTTCACACAAGCACACACTAATGCAACAATCACAAAATCACTTCAAAGAGGAGGTAGACTTGACAAAAGACATGTCGACCAGGGCATTCCAGGCAGAGAGAACCGTTTGCTTTGTTCAAGTCCAGGGGAGAAGAGCAGTTCACTCTTTTCTGTAAAGAGTCCATCTTAAAAGAACAAGAAGGAGAGTGAGGAGACAAGGGAGGAAGAAAAGAAAGGCAAGCTGGCTGAGTGGTATCATGAGGGAAGAAAGAAAATGATAGAGCAAGCGGATAACACCACAGCTGCCCAGTGTGACTCCAAGCAAGCCACATAACCTTCTGATCCTGGAATTTTCATTAGTGAAGTGGTGATAATGGTGATTGTATTAAGAATAGAGAGATTTGGGGGGAGATTAAGCAAAGTGAGGATCATTTATAACCTCCTGCTAAGCGCTAGTCATTCCTGGGACCAGGAATTAGCGCTTTAGACAGAAGTCTTCAGCTATAAAGAAAACCCAGCCTTGAGGCTCATCTGAAAAGTCAGTCTCAGTTAGATTTAGCAGGTCAGTACAAGCTGGCCTGTGTCTGCCCTGTTAATCTTCTCTTGTGGGGAGTGAACGTGGGGCCTTGCACTCTTCCTTTGAAGAACACCCCCAGCCCTTTTTCATATTTTTTGTTTTGAGACAGGGTCTTACTAAGTTGTCTTGGCTGGCTTTAAACTTACTCTGTAGCCCGGACAAGCCCTGACCGAACTGGAGATCTTCTTGCCTCAGCCTCTTGGTAGTTGGCAGGACAGGCCGGTGTCCCCAGGCCCAGCCTCCCTCCCTGTAATGCTAAGATGTCATAGCTCCTAATGCCCTTCAGTCTGACTCAAGAGGGAAAGAGCATCTCTTGGGTCAGGCTTGGGATTTTTCCTTCTTTCTTTCCTCCTTTATTTCATTCCAGTGGATTGGCTTTGCCTAGAATCATCAGTGGGTCTGGGTTTAAGAACTGCTAACAAGGGCTGGGTGGCGGCGGCGCACACCTTTGATCCCAGCACTCAGGAGGCAGAGGCAGGCAGATTTCTGTGAGTTCAAGGCCAGCCTGGCCTACAGAGCAAGTTCCAGGACAGGATCCAAAGCTACACAGAGCTTTTGACTCAAAAAAAAAAAAAAAAAAAAAAAAGGCCTTTGCCCAGATTGGATTTTTCCAAAATGATGTTCTATATTTATATTATACGTCTTGAAAAAAAAAAAAAAAAAAAGAGAGAGAGAGAGAGAGAGAGAGAGAGAGCCCTGCTAACAAATCCTATTTGCACTAGGCTTGGGTGTCTGTGCCCTAAGTTGGGTAGAGAGCAGCTAGAGAGGTGATGCCTCTTTCTCTCTCTCCTTACATTGGGAAGGGCACGCACAGCACCTGTGTGGAGGTCGGGGACAACTTGAGGGAAGGAGTTCTCTCTTTCCACCACATGGGTCCTTCCTTGATAACAAGCTGGAGTTATCAGGTTTGGCATCTAGCACTTCCACCTGCCCACAGTTCCGCCAACCCCTTTATCTGTCTCTTCCTAGGCACGTCACCCATAGTTCACAGATAAGAGAAACTGAGGTTCAAAGAGGAGATGACCTGCTCAGAGTCACACAGCCAAGTGCAGAACCAGGGATTCGGGTCCTGGTGTGACTCTAAAGCCAGTGCTCACCACTGTTCAGTCTCTCCCACGTCTGCTGTGCTGGGCACCCCTAGTCTTTCATCACGTGCTCCCGGGAGCACTCACAGATGCTAAGCTTAACCAACAGTGAGGCAAACCGAAGCAGCTGCTGCTTCCAGGATACCTCAGCGTAACTGAGGCAGGAGACTGGCTAGGTTTGAGTGACAGGCAGGGGCTGGGCCATTCTGAAGTCTCTTCTACCCCAAGGTTGTGTGTGCCTTCATGTCCCAGAGCACACGGCACTGAGTCTGGGGCACTTCTTAGTTAGGAGTCAAACCTTTCCCAGGTTTGGTCGCCGGCGTGTGATCGTGAAGAAGGGGCAGAGAGGCAACAGTTTTTACTTCATCTACCTGGGCACGGTTGCCGTGACCGAGGATGAAGACGGGAGCAGCGCCTTCCTCGACCCTCACCCAACACTGCTGCGCAAGGGTGGCTGCTTCGGGGTGAGTCCGGGGAAGGGCCTCACCTCCTGGGCTGGGGTTGGGGTGTGACGGGACTCCTGCTCCAACCCTCATCCTCCGTGCAAGCCCACGTGCGCCCCAGGGCCCCTACCTGTCAAACGCTGATGAGCTGGACCACGCAATGTCCAAAGCTGACCTCTTCACCTCATACTTGAGGAGTCTAGGCCCTGTTTTGCCCCATTGACACAGGGAAGCCATAGACTCCACAGAGAGGCCTTTCCAGCTCTTTCCTCGTCCTCGGGCCTGTAGCAGACCTCTTTTCCACAAACAACAGATAAAGGGAACGTGCAGTGGTAGGGTGGGGGTGAGTGGGAGTATGGAGGGGGCCGCGGTGGGGAGATGGGTACAGGACTGGGTGTGGCCTCACTTGCCCTTGTCCCTGTTCACCCACCAGGAAATGGGTCTTCTGAGCACTGCAGTCAGGAGAGCCACAGTGGTCTGCATGGAGGAAACAGAGTTCCTGGTTGTCGACCGGGAGGATTTCGTTGCAAATAAGCTGGACGATGAAGTTCAGAAGGAAACTCGCTATCGGTACAATTTTTTTAGGTAACTCCACCTCATTCGAGATCTTTCCTCTTCCTTGTGTTTGGCTGTGCCCTTGGTTGGAAACATGCTGGCGGTTGCTGTTGGCCTGAGGTTCTCTCAGACACCCACTTCCACCCAACTTCTCCATCCAGCCAAGTCCAAGTATGCCTTCGGATCTCAGCTGAGCTCTCTTCCTGTGGAAGAATAGAACACAAGAGTAGCTAACACACGCTGAGCACTTGCCGGGCCAGGCAGGGTGCTAGTGCTTTGTACTTGTTTCCCATCTAGTCTCCTCATGTCCAGTCCTGTGAGGTTGCTCCTTTTATTTTCCTCAGTGTGTAGATGAGAGTATCGGGACTCAGGCTGATGACATGTCTAATTTAAATTAGCAGGGTCTCAACATCCAGTTTCACTAAGGTACCCCCTCAGTTGTCACCCCAGATAGACAGGGTGCCCCATCTACCATTCTGTTGCATCCCGTGTCCCTTACAAACGCTACCCACCCTGTGATTCTCCACTGTGTGGTCATTCCGTCATAGTGTGCGTGCCATGGCCGACAGCAGTGTGCCAGCAGGGACCAGATTTGGCCGCCATTGTAATCTTCCTGCTGTCAGAGTGCTAAGCATACATGATGTTCATCAAATGAATGTTAACTGATGAAGCTGTGCTGGATGGAGGGGTCCAGCCGCTGCTGTGGCTGGGTCTGGAGATAGCATCGCTGAGCGGGTGGAGCCTGGAAAGGCGGGGGAGTCTGGGAAGAGCGCAAACTGCGGGGAAATGGGTCAGACACCCGACCTCAGCTCTTAGGCTTATTAAAAGGAAAATTCCATGGATAATTAAATTTAGTGGCGCTTATTTGAACAGAGGGAAGCAAAGCAAAATAAAAAAATATAGTTCTCAGAACCAAAGCAAATTCTGAGCATTCCAACTAGGAACATGATCTGATGCAATATGAGCTATGAAAGAGAACTGGATTACTAAGGCCTAGTTAGCAGTGTGTTATAGTTTAGTTGTCTGTGGTTTAGCAGCTCCCTGTTCAGGAGCTTTACAAGCCACAGCTTATATCAGTTTGTTCTGGGCCCAGGACATGGGCCCAACTCAAATTCACACCCTCGGGTTCTAAGGTAACTCGAGGTAGAGCTTCAAATCTTGAGGGTTTTTTTATTTTGGTTTTTTTGTTTTTTGGTTTTTCGAGACAGGGTTTCTCTGTGTAGCTTTGCACCTTCCCTGGATCTCACTCTGTAGACCAGGCTGGCCTCAAACTCACAAAGATCTGCCTGCCTCTGCCTCCTGAGTACTGGGATTAAAGGCATGCACCACCACCGCCCGGCTCCAAATCTTGGGTTTTAGTCTCTTGCTTCACAAAATGAGGATGATGAGAAGGGATGAAGTGACGGGGGGAGGGCCCAGTGCATGGCACACAGTAGGTGCTATGCTCTTCTGGGCATGCTCCTCCTCCTCCTTTCTAGATACCCTTCTGAGGTCAGGGTGTGGACCCTGTTCCCATGTGATGCTCAGAAGTGAACTCAGTGTGTCTGATGCATGAGCCAACTTGAGTTAACTAGCTCAGTCACCCTGAGTCCATGTTAGAACTGAGAGAAACACATCATTGTTAGCAGCCCCGTGAAGCCACCAAACAGAGAGAGGCAGCTTGTGAGTCATGGTGTGTGAGGTCAGGGAAGAGGTGGCTGCTTTGTAGTGAGCCTTTAAACAATTCCAAGACTCCAGACATCTCGCCTCTCCCCAGGCTCTGAGCTAAATGTTCAAAGCTTACTGGCCAGAGGCAGCTAGAGATTTGTGAAAGCTCCAGGACCAAAAGTCAGGGCAGGACCCTTTGGCTGGGAACCAAGCAGCCAGTGTGCGGAAGCAAGCAACCACCTGAGCTCATCTTCTTTTCTATGGGAAGAGCTTGTGAGCCAGAGTCGTAGGGTGTAGCAGAACTGGAGTCAGAAAGAAGATTCCCCGATGGCGGAGCAGCAACAGGAAGAGGACCACTCAGCTGAAGAGGAAGGCTTGAGGAAACGCAGGATGCTGACCACAGACTGGGGGGAGGTGACTGCAGGTGGTGGGGTGAACTCTCCCACCCCAGGCATTTTCTCAAGAGTCAAAGAACAAGGCCCCTTTCTGGAACCTTCTAATACTGGGTGATAAATTCTAATAGGCTTCCCTCTTCCCCCAGGAAGTTGGATCTGTTCCAGTCTTGGTCTGATGAGAAACTCAAGCAGATAGTAGCTTTGGGGAGGCTGGAGAAGTTCTCACATGGACAGCTGGTGGCAAAAGACTTTGTGGAGTCGTCATTTGTCACATTTATCTGCAAGGTGAGAGTCTGAGCAGGGAGCGACGCTGGGAAGAGCAGGTCCAGCTTAAAGCCAGGCAGACATGATCTGAGCCAGTTCTACAACAGATGCAGCCCATGTACTTTTCTGACCTTCCACACACCAACTTAAGGTCTACAAAGCAGGGCATGCTTGCCTCAGAGGGCTGATGGGAGCTTTGGGGTACACAGTGCAACACTATTGTTGGGGGTATGGATGGGAATGCATATCAAATGTTGGAAACTATGTGCAGGACCTAACTCTCTATGGACTACATCTTTCTTTACATACATTTCTATATTCAGATTTATAAGTTAGGCCCAGTAAGAGATTAAGTTATCATAAAATAGAACTGTTATATACCGAAATACTATGTCCTCACCCTTTTTGTGATGATGTAAGAGGAAATATAAAGAAACAATTTATAGCCTTTCTTTGGAATATTTGTATCACAAAATCACAATTTTTGTGTTTTGGGCCACTGTTAAGTAAAATAAAGTTACTTGACCATAGCACTATGGTTCTACAACAGCTGAGCTGACAACAGAGAGCTATAAAATACCTCACAAGTAGGTAGCACATACAGCATGGATACGTTGGTCGTGGTTCGTGTCCCAGGCAGACAGTAGGCTGACTACTCAGAAGGGTGCACAACTTCAAGCCTACAGTTTGTGCATTTCTGAAACCTTCCACTTGATATTCTTAGTCTGGTAGACTATGGGTGACCATAGCTAAATTCTTGTTTGTTTCACACGTTGTGTCTTTTTGGTCTCACAGTAACCTCCCAAAGATGAGTAGGGCCCTCATTCTCATTTAACAGAAAAGTAAACTGAGGCACAAGACTATGAAATAAATGTCTGTTCAAGGTCACAGAGTTGGGGTGTGGGTGTGGGGTGGGGGCAAGTTTCACTTTGGGTCTGACTCCAAAGCCCTTCCAGAACTGGGATTGGAGTTGACGTGCTGGTTCCTTGTACTGTAAGTCACCAAAGAGATTTGGTGTGTTTTTGTCAAGGTTGTGTTGGTCCAGGATGTGAATGGAGACAGTGTTGGAGAAGACGTTTTCTCTGTCTCCTCCACTGGGTCTGGCGCAGAGTCAAAGTTGTCAACGCCAAGTGCCAAGTGATAGGTATACGTGAGTGATCTCCAAGGACTAGGAAGGGGAAGCTGCAAGGCTGGAGGCTTTAAAGAAGCCTCCTGAAGGAGGTGAGAGGAAGATGAACCTCAAGTATGGAACCCATAGATCAAAGGAATGCACAAGATTGACATGCCCCGGAGCTGGCCTGTATGGGCTGGCCCGAGCTGAGGGTTGCATTTTCAGGTACTTTATGAGTTGGTAACACAATACTTATTTTTTGCTTAATTGTTTTGTTAACAATAACTGCATCTGTAGACGTCTTACAGTACTTGCATAGGAGACTGAGGGCAACAGCTGCAGCTCTCTGGGACTCATGCAGCTCCTGCAAGCTGCTCCAGAACTCTCAAGTCAAAAGCAGAGCTGAAAACTGATCTGGTTCATTTTGTGGAATCGCAGCACAAAGCCTCTTCCTGGCCAAGCCTTGATCCACCGCTGAAGATACTAACCGAGAGCGTCAGTGTGCCGCAGTCCCACAGCATGAAACAAATGCATTTGTCCTCACCCAGGAGGAAACCGAAGTGCATAGTGTCACTGCAGAACGGGGGACCAAGGACAGGGCTTATCTGTGGGAGGTTCCGCCCTGTGACCTATCTTGCACGGACTTTGGAACAGTAATGACACTGGTGATTATACAGTAAAAGGTCACCTCGGTGGGCAACAGAAAATTAAGACGGGGCTGGCCATGGCGGCGCACACCTTTAATCTTAAGAGGAGCTTGCTGCTAAGCCTGATGAGCTGAGTTCAGTCCTTGGAATTCACACAGCGGAAGGAGAGAACCAGCTCCTGAACGTTGTTCTTTGACCTCCACAGCCGTGCTGTGGCGTGTGGCCCTCTATTATCTGAGTCACTGAGGAATTCACGACCCTTGCCAAGCCAGTGTGAGAGCTGCAAGAAGTCTCAGTTTACCGCACGTCCTTCATGTGAGGCTGAGAGGGGTCAGAGACAGATGGCGGATGAGCCTTGATTATACTCAGTAGGGAGATGCTGCCTCTGGCTTCCCTTGTCAAATCCTGTCTGGTCTGGTGAGGATGGATCAGTGCGGAGTTCCGACGGCACCACCAAAATGGCTGAGAATTGGTGGGCTATGTGCAATTTCAACAGTGTGCATAGTTGATTCTGCAAATTGGTCTTGGCACACCCTGCTTTTACTGTGCTGAGGACTGAACCTGGGGCCCTTCGCAAGAGTAGGCAAGGGATTTATCACTGAGATACATCCCCACCCCTTTTTAAAGGATAGTTTTTATTAGTTGTACATTTTCATATATCCACCATTGTTTTATTTTGGCGACAGGGTCTCCCTCTGTAGCCCAAGGTGGCCTTGAACTCTTCATCCTCCTGTCTCTAACTCTCCAGTGCTGGCCTGAAGGTAGCATTTATGTACATGAACATGTAAATGTCAATGTGTATTTTCCCTGTTGTTAAGCTTAGCAGTGCCACTAGGGGGAGTGTTGTTCTTCAGGGGCCAGGCCCACAGGGAAGAATTTAGTCTGACCAACTTGGAGCAAAAAGGGATTTATCACAGGCTGTTAAGTAGGTAGTGAATAAGTGGAGGGATGGGGGAGCGTGGGAACCTGCAGAAACAGATCCTGAACTGCAAATACCTGACCCTCAGGCCAAAGAGGAAGCCACTCCCCAGCCAGTGCAGGAGTAATCAAGTGGATAACCGGCACCTCCCAGAACCAGCCTCATTAAGTGCATGGATCAATGGGACCCAAAGAGCCCCAGGACCTTTGCTCCAAGGAGCTGAAATTGAAGTGGCTAGTTCCAGTCTCTACACATTCAAAAGGGACTCTGCCTTATGCTCTGGAGCACTGAGATTAGAGGACTGGGCATGAACACCACCATTGCCAGCTGGGATGCCTTTTGTTGTTTTCATCTGTAAAATGGGACCATTGACTTCGTAAAGCCTTGTGATAAGAACTAGTTTAATAATTAGAATCTTTTTTTAAAAAATGTAGACTAGAGAGAGGCTTAAGTAGTTAAGAGCATGTACTGCTTTTGCAAAGGACCTGTGAGGGCTTCCAGTGCCCACGTAAGGTGGCTCACAGCCACCTGTAACTCCAGCTCCAGAGGATCTGATACACTCTTCTAGCCTCAGTTGGCAGCTGCATTCACACACACACACACACACACACACACACACACACACACACACACACACACAAACACCTACCTCCACATAATGTGCCTGTGTGTGCATTAAAAATAGTAAGATAAATTTTTTAAAAAATAACTTTTTAAGCACATGCTTCCTTGGTTTATGTTCATCCACCAATCCATGGCTTCTAAAGGTGGTGTCGCCTGGTCAGCACCCACATTCGGGAGCTCATGAGAAACACAAATTCTGCCAGCCACAGTGGCAGCTTGATGTAATCCCACCACTGGGACGGAGACCAGGAGTTCAGGGTCATCTTTAACTACCTGGGGAGTTTGAGGTCAGCATGAGCTATAAGACATTGCTTCAAAAAAAAAAAAAAAAAAAAGTCCAGAAAAGAACAAAGCAGTGTCATCCAGGTGCGGTGGTGTGTGCCTGGATTCTTGCAACCCAAGCACTTGGGATACTGAGGCAGGAGAATTGCTTCAAAACTGAGGCCAGCCGGGGCTATAGAGTTTCAGGACAGCCTCCTTGTGTAGGACAGTCTATGGGTCTTATCAACTATTTGGTGACCTGTATCCAATTATAACTGTACTAGCCTAGAACCTCCCTGTCCCACCTATGCCTCCCCCCCGCCCCCGCCCCCAGCCAGAAATGAGGTCTGGGTTTTGTCTCTACAGCTTTGTCTTTTCTAGAATGCCATAGGTCGGGATCCTGGAGTGCATTGCCTTTCAGATTTGACTTTTACTTAGAAGTTTATATTTAAGAAATTTTTGTCTCTTGAATTGATTTCTTTTTAGTGTTGAATAATATTTTATTGTCAAGATGCACCATAATTATTTATATGTATATAATGTATATATATGAAAATTATATATATTGTATATATGTACAATTATATATAATAATAAATAATAATGTATATATATATGAAAATTCTCAAGTCTCCCACCCCAGCTATTAAATCCAAAAGTCCAAGAAGGAAGGCTGGTAATTGACAAAGCGAGAATTCTGAAGCATGCTAGAGTACTTTTTTAAAAGGGAAAACTCCTGTCTCTCCCTAAAGATTGGTTCACCACAAAACCTGCACGGAAGTGTGTGCCACAGGTGACCCTCCAGGGGACGTAATACAAAGGCCACAGTGTGGCTGCAGGCAGCCCAGCCCCCCCTACCCCCCCCCCCCAGCCAGCAGTGGAGTTCACTTTGTTCCTTACGGTGTTTTACTGAAGTCTGGCCTTTCATGTGAAGGTTTATGTAACAATTCTCATCTGTGGCTCTGAGAATTTAGAACAGGCAACCGCACACCAGACCCTGTGTGTCTTCTAGCTGGAACTGAGGCGCCCCTGCTTTTCTGAAGGGACCGCTCTGTTTGCTCAGTGTTCTTCACTATGTAGCTGGCTCTTTGCCTATTCGGACTTCCTCAGCAGCCCGACTCCTGTGCTTCCTGGATGAAGCCAGCCGCCAGTGGCTGATTTCTTCTAAGGGAGGTTGGGGAATAGGATTCCCACTGGTATCTCAAACACAATTAATGCCCATAATCAATCCATTCTGGGCCACTTGGGACACATGGTTGGGTTCTCTGAAAGTATCGGATGCAATAAAAGACTTATGAGCGACTTTTCCAAAAAGGAATCATCATTTCTCTCGCATCTGCAGTTCTTGGGTGAGAAGCATTTGTTGAATGAATATTGAATGAAACCCCTTGGACAGTGCCTGGCATACAGCAAGGACTTATTAGATGTCTGTTCCTTCCAATAGTAGCCTTTAAGCTCAACCCGTCTGTGTCTCTTAGAGTTCCTATTAAGAGGCAAACGATTTCTATAAAGACAGGAAGTACAAGGAACTTAGCAGTTTTTTCTGGTGCTGGGATTCAAGCCTGAGACCTCACATATCCTACGACTGCTTTGTTCTTGTTTCTTCTTGAAGCAGGGTCTCTCTGTGTATCCCGTGCTGACCTCAAACTTGAAATCCTCCTGCCTCAGCCTTTGTTGTGCTGAGACTACAGCGTGTGCTGCCACTCTTGGCCTGGAGGCTCATCTCTTGATGCAAACTCCCAGGACTGAAGAGCAGGAGAAGGGAATGCTGGGAATTCAAGTTTTTACTCAGATCATCACAAGCCCCCTTTCTAAGGAAACTGATCCAAGCAAATAAGGAGGCTGTGTCCAATTTAAAGATGAAAAAGTCCTATCCCACTACCTGCCCAGGGAGCTGCCTCAGTGACCTCTGTAAGAATTAAAAGATATGTTGGGAGGTGGTGGTGCACGCATTTAATCCCAGCACTAGGCAGATGTGGAGGTATGGATCTCTGTGAGTTCAAGGCCAGCCTGGTCTACAGAGCAAGTTCCAGGACAGCCAGGACTACACAGAGAAACCCTTTCTCAAAAAACAAACGAACAAAACCAAACAAAAAGAGTTAAAGATGCTTGTTAGAGTTGCTTGCTGTGCAGGGCACAGACAGTCACTGCAGATGGCTTACACTGTCATTTTTTCCTTAGGTCATCTAGCATAAGCCTAGGTCTGTAGGTTTAGCATAGGAGAGAAGGGATAATAACAACTCTCCTAATCTTATCCTGAGTTTTCTACTTACTGTGTGTTACCTGGAACTGAGTCGTTTCCATTCCCAGAATAGGGGACTTTGGAAAGATGGAGGATTTTGTGTTTTAAACTGGGGGCTTGGCTGTGTTGAACAAAATAAACGTTATAGATAATGCTGACAAATTAGAAAGAGCCAAATCTGAATCTTTTAGAAAATGTTTTCTGGGGCCTGGAGAGCTGGCTCTGTGGTTAAGAGCACTGGCTGCTCTTGCCCGAGGGTCTGGGTTCAGTTCCCAGCACCCACATCAGGCAGCTCACAGCTGCCTACAACTCCGGTTCCCAGGGATCAGATGACAACATCTGGTCTCCTAGGGTACCTGCATAGGCAAATACAGACAAGCAGGTCCACACCCATCAAACTACATAAACATAAATGTCTTCTGGAAGTGTAACTCATGCAGTGGAATTGCCGATCTGAACTATTTCTCTTGATGAATTTGAAACCTGGCAACTATCTACCAAATTGACATACTGAACATTTCCAGCCTCCAGAAGACAGCCTTGTACCCTTTCAGACACAATTCCCCCAAAGACACTCCTGTTACAATATCATCACAGGTTACTTTTGAGATTTATTTATGTGTATGGGTGTTTTGTCTGCATGTATGTCTGTGCGCCACATGTGTACAGTGCCTGTGGACATCAGAAGAGGGTGTTGGATCCCTGGAACTGGAGTTTTATAGATAGATGCTTGTTAGCTGCCATATAGGTGCCGGAAATCGACCCCAGGTCTTCTGGAAAAGCAGCATTCTTAACCTCTGAGCTGCCTCTCTAGCCCTGAGCCGCTTTTCTATCCCCACCACGGAGTCCTTTTACCAGTTTCTGAACCTCATATAAATGGAATAACTTTACTACATACATCTGATATTGTTTACTCAACTGTATGTTGGGGAGAGACAACTTTTGGATTCCCTGGTCTGGGAGACTCATGAATCTGAGAGCTCCAAGCTCAGTGAGAAACTCTCAAAAAAAATAAGGTAGAGAATGATACACACACACACACACACACACACACACACACACACACACACAAATATGTACACACATACAGATAAAGAATTAGCATATAATATGTTCTAAGCAATAGTATAGAATGATATGTTTGGCCTGATGTGTAACTGGGGTTTCTTTTTGTTTGTTTGTCTTTTGAGACAAACTCTTACTATGTAGCCCTGGATGGCCTGGAATTTGCTGTGTAGATGAGGCTGGCCTAGAACTCACAGAGATCCGCCTGCTTCTGCCTCCTAAGTGCCTGGATTAAGGGTGTACCACTACACCTCCTCCTCCTCTTTTGTCTTTGCTTTAATATACATTTGCACCTGCTAGAGTTACCTGAGGAGTAAACATCATCCTTGGGAACCTAGGTAATTTTTTTTTTTGCTTTTTTTTAAAAACAGGGTTTTTGTTTTTGTTTTGTTTTGTTGTTTTTTTAAATGTGTACAGGTGATTTGCTTGCATGTATATAAGTGCACCATGTGTGTGCCTGGTGTCTGCAGAGACCAGAAGAGGGCGTCAGATCCTTTGGAACTGGAGTTACAGCTGGCTGTGAACTGCTGTGGGTGCTGGAGACTGAGCCTGGCTTACCCGGAAGAGCAGCCAGTTTTCTCAACTACTGAGCCATCTCTCTAGCTCCTCAGGCGATGATTTCTAAGATCAGAAATTAACTGCAGAGTAATTATAAAAGTCGCCGGGCAGTGGTGGCACACGCCTTTAATCCAAGCACTCAGGAGACAGAGATAGGTGGATGTCTGAGTTTGAGCCCAGCCTGGTCTACAGAGTGAGTTCCAGGATGGCCAGGGCTACACAGGGAAATCCTATCTTGAAAAACTAAAATATGTATGTATGTATGTATGTATGTATGTATGTATGTATGTATATATGTATGTATATATGTATGTATATATGTATCTATCTATCTACCTATCTATCTATCTATCTATCTGGTCTGTGTCAGTGTTGTGTACAGTTTTTATGCTTCTTTGGGTGTTTGAATTTTCTATGAGAAGATAACATTTCTATGAAGGAAACACATGGAATGATACGCATTAAGCAAATAAAACAAAATGGGGTTAGGTCAGGTAGATGTAGAGCTTCCTTTCAAAGCCTGGCCTGCCTGGAGCATCCGGGTTTAACCCTTGGCTTGTGTCCCTCCACGTGTCCAGGGCAGCTGTGAGATCCTGCGGATGTTAGACCTGGGGTCCTCCAGTTCCTATTACAAGTGGGTCTGGCAGCAGCTGGAGCTGTTGGACCACAAACCTCTGGGAGTTCATCGCAACGGTAAGTCACATGGCCACAGCTGGCAGTTGAAGGCACAGCTGGCAGGGGAAAGATATGTCCCCTGGGCCCCGTCCTGGTTCCAGTCCCCAGTCCACAGAATCATGGACATCGGAGCTCGAAGGGGCAAATGGGAAGTTTGCTTTGATCCTCCTCTTCTACCAACTCCAAGATCCTGATCTCTGGCCCTGCCTGCCGACGGCTCCCTCCCTCTCTCTGGATTCTTCCATGTAAGCACCTACTCATGTCTCCTACACCCCCACCCATCTCTTTCCCCATCTCGCTTCTGCCTTTCACATCTTAGATGAAGCATCCATATTCAAAGAATTTTCCCAGACTTCTCTTGCTGAAGCAGCGTCTTCCACCTCAGCCCTCATTATATCTCATTTGCATCTGTGGTATTTCTCCTCTGTCGTGTCTGTCCCACTGAAATCATATAGCGAGTCTGAAATAGTTTTTAAATGGCTGTCTCCCTAGAATTTTAATTCTCAGATCCCAGGGCCTGTGGCCATCCCAGGCATCTTACGTTTATTCAGAGTGACTCACAGAGTCAATAGACACTCACATTTTAGCCACAGTGGATGGTTTGGGGTATGTCCTGAGCTGTGTGTGATTGCTGTGTATTCTCCAGGACTAATCTAAGTTGATATATGTGGCATGGATAGCTGCTATCATTCATTGAATTCTGCATATTCGTAGTAGTTTGGCTGGTTAGCCATAAGTGTAATTCATGTAACAGGTGTATTAGTCAGGGTTCTCTAGAGTAACAGAAGTTATAGAATGAATCTTTCTATATATATAGAAAAGGGCTTTATTAGAATGGCTTACAGGCAATGGTGGCTGCCGAAGAAAGGAAGGGTCAAGAATCCAGGAGCTGTGTGTGAACTGTCCACAGGCTGGGTGTCTCAGCTGCTCTTCAGTAGACGCTGGAATCCTGAAGAAGTAGGCTCTAATGCCAGTGAAGGAATGGACTTGCTAGCAAGGCGAGGGTTAGCAGGCAAAGAGCAAAAGCTTCCTTCTTCCAGCAGAAGGCGTGACCAGATTAGAGGTGTTTCCTAGCTCAAAAACCCAGATTAGTGTGTCATTCTGCCTCAAAGATCGAGATTTCTGCTCTTCCCACTTCAAATTAAGTAAAAATTCCTCAGAGGTGTGCCCTCCACTTTTGGGCTTTAGTTAATTCCAGATGTAGTCAAGTTGACAACCAAGACTGGCCATCACTGCAGATTTTCAATAAGATATAATTGTGTCTCCATTTTAAAGACACAGAAACTGAGGCTCAGAGAGGTGAGATTCTTGTTTAAGGGTCATACAGATACTAAGCAAGAGAGGGCTGCAGAGTACAGACCCAGCTCATAGCTTCCCGACTTTAGGTGATGTTTCTGTTAACAGGAGGTTGTATATTTGTGTGCACATGAGAGCATGTGCATACCTCTGTGTGTGTGTGTGTGTGTGTTACATTTGGGTAAAGAGTCCCCGCCCTCAACAGACATCCTCAATGGCTTAGGGTTGCACACTTACCAAGTACCATCTCTGACTTCCTCCCAACCATCCCTTGAGATTTTAATCCAGCCTCTCCAAGATCACTTTGTGGATGTGGCCAGTTATTCTGATATTAGAACTGAAGCCAACATGGGTGGCTGGGCAGGGAAGAAAGGTGTGGGGGCGGGGGGGCGTGGTGACAGAGCCAGGTTTATCCCACATAGTAGCTGGCATTGGTTAGTACTTAAGTCATTAGACCTGGTTTCTCCCTCACCTTTCTGGACAGTATCACTGCTGAGAGCCTAGGTTCCTTCGGGGCGGTGGTGGCTCACGCCTTTAATCCCAGCACTTGGGAGGCAGAGGCAGGTGAATCTCTGAGTTCCAGGTCAGCCTGGTCTACAGATTGAGTTCCAAGACAGCCAGGGCTACACAGAGAAACCCTGTTTAGGGAGGGGGGAAAAAAGAGCCTAGGCTTAGACTTAGAGGGTCCTGTGTGACACTGGGCAAATGTCTGTCTCCTTCTTCATCAGTGTCCTTGGGTCCTTTAAAGTGTAAATTATGTTCTCTGTATCATAAAGTCACTTGGATACTAAACAAATGAATATACAAAACTCATAGACCACTCCCTGGATGCATGGATTTATGGTAGACACTTGTCACCATTACTACAAGATGACAGGCAGGCTGAAAGGGATGTCAGCTCTCACATCAGCAACCCCCAGTGCCAGGCCCCTAAATATAAGGCTGTATTGCACACATTTGGATATGCTGTGTTTCTATTGTGGTCCAGTTCAAAATACTTCTAAATTTCTCTTTTGATTTCTTCTTTGACCCACTGAATATTAATCAGGGTGTTATTTAGTTTCCAAAGATTTGGGGACCATCCAGCTATCTTTCTGTTTATTATTTCTATGATAAAATATTCGGTACAGTTTGAATCCTCTCAAATGTGTTGGAAGTTGTTTTATGGCCCAGAAAGCAATCTATCTTGGTAAATGCTCCATTTGCATATGAAAAGAATATGCTGGCATTGGCTGCAGCGTGCTTTGAATGTGAGTCAGCCGGGCTGCTGAGGGTAGGCGAGTGGTCTGTGTCCTTCCTGACTTTTCCGATCTGCTCTATCAGCTGTTAATACAGAGCTGAGGGAATCTCCAACTGCTGTTTTCTCTCTTCCTATCTCCCTCCTCCTCACCCTGCCCCCCTGTATCCTAGGCTGACTTTGACCCATGCACCCACAGGATTGAACTCTTCAAGACAAGAAGACTTCTTTTTAAGGTGTTAGAGATTGGACCCCAGACCGCAAGGCCCGGCAGCTGCTCTACCACGAGCCGCATTCTTGACCTGAAATGAACTACTTACTGTCTCTGGAAGCATTCTTGACTCTAAAATCTGCTTTTTCTCATACTCTTTTAGCCACTCCTTTTGATTTAATTTAGCTTCCTTTGCTTACTATTAGTTTGATATTTCTCTTTCTATCCTTTTGGGCTTGCTTTTTTGGTGTCTTTGTATTTAAAATGGCTTTTTCTTTTTTTTTTTTTTTTGTGGTACTGGGGATCAAACCGAGGGTCTTATGCATGCCAGGGAAACACTGTACCACTGATCTATAGCCACGGTCACTAAAATGTGTTTATTTAACACTTTTTAAACATTTTTATTTATTGTAGGTGGGTAGGGCATGCGTTTGGTTTAGACTAACTGGCTACCAGCCCCCAGGGGCGCTCCTGTAGCCACACCTCTAGTGCTGAGATTATAGTCATGCTTCCACATATGTGTGTGCATGTTTGTGTACGTGAATGTGGGCGGACACCTATGGGAGTCACAGGACAACCTCAGGTGCTGGCCCTTGCCTTCCTCCTTGTTTGAGTGAGGGTCTCTTGTTTGCCAACAACTATGCCAGACTAACTGTCCCTAGTTCCATTTGTTTGGAATACCCTTTTCCATCCCTTCATGCTATGGTTGCCTCTGTCCTTGATGGTGAGGCGCATTTCTTGGAGGCCACTAATAGATGCTGTCTATTATTTATTTATTTATTTATTTATGTTTTGTTTTAATTTGTTTCTTTGAGACAAAGTTTCTCTGTCTGCGTAGCACTGGCTGTCCTGAAGCTATCTCTGTAGACCAGGCTAGCCTCGAACTCACAGAGATCCGCCTGCCTCCGCTTCCCAAGTGCTGGCTAAGATTAAAGGTGTGCACCACCACTGTCAGGCAATGCAGTTTATTTTTGAAAGCCACTATACTAACTTTGTCTTTTGACGGGAGAATTGATGTCATTAAGAGTTATTATTGGAAGTTATCTGTTAACTCCTGTATTTCTGTTGGTTTTGTAGTGTTTGGTGTTTTCCTATTCCTCTCATGCTTACTGTTCTAGCATGGCTTATTCTTTCCTGTGGCCCCTGGATGGGTTTACTTTTCTAAAAAAAATACTTATTTGCTGGGTGGTGGTGGCACACACCTTTAAGCCCAGCACTCAGGAAGCAGAGGCAGGTGGATCTCTGTGAGTTCAAGGCCAGCCTGGCCTACTGAGCAAGTTCCAGGACAGCCAGGCTATACAGAGAAACCCTGTCTTGAAAAAAAAAAGTTATTTACTTTACATGCATGTATGTGTTCTGTGTGTGTACCTGTGGGATCCCCTGGCACTAGAGCTCCAGACGGTTGTGAGGCAGCATGTGGGCGGGCGCCGGGGGTCTAACCCAGGACCTCCGCAAGAGCACCAACCGCTCTTCAGGGCTGAGCCACCTCTCCAGCCCCGTGTTTACCTTTCTCTTCCGGCCAAAGGAGGCTTTCAAGAGTCGGTTCGTGCTCGAGAATTCCTTTGTTTGTTTTCATCGTGGAAAGCATTTCTTTCTCCTTAATTAAGGCAGTTTTGCTGGATTTAGAAATGTGGCTTGGCAGAACTTGAAATCGAGATCCCCCCCACCCCGGCTGTACCTCCCAAGTGTAGGTAGATTCAAGATGGGAGCCATCATGGCCGGCTCACCTTGTCTTCTGAGGCAGTCTCTTACTAGGACTTAGGGCTTGCCACGTAGGCTGGGCTGTCTAGCCCACGAGCCCTGGAGATCTTCCTGTCTCTCCCGCCTCAGCACTGGGATAATGAGTACAAGCCACCATGCCCAACTATTTTCATGGGTGCCGGGATCAAACTCAGAGCCGTGTGCGCGCGAGGCAAGCACACTCCCGACTGAGCTACATCTCCAGCCCCAGATGTGATCTGTTTGTAGAAAGAGAGGAGCTTTGGATCAAATAGAACTGAGTTCAACTTAAGCATCGGTCTTTCAGCAGTCAACTTAAATTGAAGGTCTGCTGTTCACCTCTTCTCTCCTAGGCTAATTGCTTATCTAGATGTAATGTAGAAAGATCTAATGCAGCTGCCACTGAGGGCAGTTTATGGAAGCTGCTTCCTCTGCCTCCTGCTCCCTCCTCCTCCTCCTCTTCTTCATTGGCTCTGTAGCCTTGACAGGCCTAGAAGTTGCTATGTAGACCAGGCTGGCCTCGAACTCACAGAGATCCACTATCTCTGCCTCCCAAGTGCTGGAATTAAAGCATGCACCTCCTCCTTTCTCTCCTTGGGCCACCAGACAGCTTGGGCGGGTTCCTATGGTGTTCTTCCATCATCCTTGTACTGCACAAGGCCGATCATTGTGTTTTCCTGTGCCTTCTCTTAATAGTGATGTCTCCTATGGAGAGATTTAAGGAATTCCAGATCAAATCATATCCTCTACAAGACTTCAGCTATTTGAAACTTCTGCGTCTCCAGGAAGCCAGAGAGCAAAAGGGAAAAGGTGTTTACGGGAAGATCAACACAAGAGAAAATAGTCTCCCAAAGCTGCTGGGCCCGAAGGTCAAGTAAGTGGAACTCTGAGCTGATAGGGCGGTCTGGTTGTGGGTGTTAGGGACTTCAGAGATGCTGGTGGGGGGCAGAGGTGGCAGACAGGTCAATCCTAGACGGATGGGTATGTGGCTGAGGCAGCCTAGGGAAGTCCTGGGTCTGCTATCCAGGACCTGTATTCATTGCCTCTGACTCACATGGCTACTTAAGAACATAACTGGGGTTGGGAATTTAGCTCAGTGGTAGAGCGCTTGCCTAGCAAGCACAAGGTCCTGGGTTCGGTCCTCAGCTCCGGAAAAAAAAAAAAAAAAAAAAAAAGAACAATCATTCATCTTCTCAAGCCACAGTAGTATTTTAAAGAGGACAGACAGGATCTTTTGCTTTCTGGGTCCATGCTGCCGGGTCCTTTTGACTCAGCTTATTCAGGAGACTGCCCATCTAGGGGAGTGAGCTCTAGTACACCAGGTAAGAGCTTGGCTTGCAGTCAGTCCAACCCAGGTTCAAATCCTGGCTTGGTCACTTGCTTTGGCTGTGTCAAGGATCTGACTTCTCTAAGCCTTATGCTTGGTGGACAGTGGTTTCTGAGTCTCAGAGTTATGTGAAATATTGATAAATATTGATAAATCATGCTTTAATCCTAACAGGATGCTCAGTACCTGGCGTTAAGTTATCTAATTAATCTCCACAATGTCCCTAAAGGTGCTGTGCTTACCACTCATTTTTCAGGCGAGAAAACTAAGGTTCACAGAAGGGTGAAGTTATTTGTTCAAGGTCACACGTGTAGGAAGTGGTAAAGCCAGGATTCAAACCTGAGCAGCTGGTCAAACATCTGTCTTTTATCTGGTGCGGGTCTCACACTGATGTGACAGATCCACAATGAGACCTACGTTCTTGCCTTAACTTGAGGACCTGAGGAGCAGAAAAAGATTGCAGCTGGAGCAACCACCCACTTTCCCCATCCCATTTGAAACTCAAGTATCAGAAGATATCTAAGGCGGGTGTGGTGGCTCACACCTTTAATCCCAGCACTCAGGGAGGCAGAGGCAGGCAGATCTCTGTGGGTTTGAGGTCAGCCTGGCCTACATAGTGAGTTCTAGGACAGCCAGAGCTACATAGAAAGACTCCACCTTGAAAACAAACAAAAAACTGGATCAATAATGGGGTTAGTATCACTGTTCCTGTTTTTCAGTGGCCTCTTCATTTATCCACTAACACTTCGATCTGCTGGCCTCCATAAGAAGCAACCCATGAATTCCAGGTTGCTTTTCTTCTGATGGAATATTGCCAGTTCCAGCTTTCCCAAGGGTAGAGATAAAACAGACCCAGTGTCTCTGCTATGAGCCAGTAAGGGACAATGTTGACCCAGAAGTAAAAGATACAGGGAATGCTGGGTACATGCCTTGCTTGTGCTCTTCTTGGAGGGGCAGGAAGGAAGCCTGTCTTGTGTACGAGCTGAGTGAGCCCCAGCGATCCTCGGCTGATACTCTCTTCTCTATCTCTAATCAACTGCCTAGCCCCTCTCCTGCTGCCATAGACAAAAAACAAAGAGGGCACAACAGGGTTGCCTTTGTAAAATGAGCCCCAATTCGAACAAAGTCTAGGGTCTGCAGGCTGACCAGGGAAAGTTATCTGTATAAACAGAGAGGCCAACCTCCACTCTGCCTTCCCAACCTCTACTGTGTCCCTAGGTGCTTGAGCCTCGCCTTGGAACAGTCCATTCTGTTTGTAAGCAGCACTGGTTGTTGGGAATTCCTTTTTTTTTTTTTTTTTTTTTTTTTTGGTTTTTCGAGACAGGGTTTCTCTGTGTAGCTTTGCACCTTTCCTGGAGCTCACTTGGTAGCCCAGGCTGGCCTCGAACTCACAGAGATCCGCCTGGCTCTGCCTCCCGAGTGCTGGGATTAAAGGCGTGCGCCACCACCGCCCGGCGGGAATTCCTTTCTCATAGGAGCTTTGGATTAAATAGACCCGAGCTCCAACTGGGCAGCCTGAACTTTATGCCTGGACTTCCTGTCCGTCAGGCTGGCTCAGCTGCATGGGGTCATCTGCTCTTCAGGAAGCAGCCTTCTGGCAACTAATAGGTCCCTAGTTCCCTTCTCTCCCAAGTCCAGTCTCTTACATTTCTCTAATCCCAGATAGCAGCAGTCACACTCACACAGGATTTGATTTTGAGGTTTTTTATTTTTATTATTTATTTATTTATTTATTTATTTATTTATTTATTTATTTATTTATTTTCCGGAGCTGAGGACCGAACCCAGGGCCTTGCACTTGCTAGGCAAGTGCTCTCTACCACTGAGCTAAATCCCCAAACCCTTGATTTTGAGTTTTATCACGTTCTTTGGAGTGTAAATTCTCCAGGAGGGCTCTCATCAGTAGTGAGGTGAGGGCTGACTATTTGGGACCTGGCAAGCTGGCTGTTCTACACATCAGTTCTAACAAGCTGTTGTCATTTCAGATCCAAGTTTGGTCATCCAGTCAAATGTGCCATGGTCAAAACCAAGTTTGGTGAACTCCCCAAGGAGGCCGCAGTGGGGATCTACATGAAGGTCCACACTCTGAAGGAAGGAGATATTGTGGTAAGTGTACTAGGAGCTTTGTTCATATAGGCTAGTGCGCAGCACAGATGGGCTGGGAAGGTGAGTAATGAGCAGAAAGACTCAGAGACACATCTTCTGTGTCTGATGATGTAAGCAAAAGTGCTGGGCTGGTGGGTGGCTGGGGTGAAAGCGCTTGAGATTGAAGCCTGCCAACCTGACTTAGGTCTCTGGAACACACAGTGGAAGAAGAGAACTGACCCCTGAAAGTTGTCCTCTAACCACAGACACACACACACACACACACACACACACACACACACACACACACACACACTAAAATTAAATTAAAAATTTAAAGAAAAGAAAGAAATAGTATTAGCTTTTAAGATACAAGAGCACAAAGCCAGGCAGGAGTGGCACACACTTTACTCCCAGCACTTGGGCAGCAGAGGCAGGCAGATCCCTGAGTTTGAGGCCAGCCTGGTCTAGATAGTGAGTTCCAGGTCAACCAGGATTACTCAGTGAGACCCTGTCTTAAAAAAAAGTAAAAAAATGGGCTGGAGAGATGACTCAGCGGTTAAGAGCACTGGCTGTTCTTGCGGAGGACCTGAGTTCAATTCCCAGCAACCACATGGTGGCTCCCAACCATCTGTAATGAGATCTGGTGCCCTCTTCTGGCATGTAGGCAGAACACTGTATACATAATAAACAAATCTTTAAAAAAGTAAAAAAAATAAAGATAGTGATAAAGATATTGTGGTTAATCTTTTAGGAGTCTGTATATTGGGGTTCATGAGAGGAGAGGGGAGACTTTAAGAGAGTTACAAAATATGGGAATGTATTATATGACACAGAAGCAGAGGGCTGGGTAACTAAGGGAGGAAAAGGAACCAGCTGGAGGTGAGGAGGAGGCCCAGGGGAGCAGTGGGGGAGGGGAATGATTAAAATAATCTCTAGTGTAGCTATGACATTGCCGTGTTGATGGGGCGCTGGGGTAAAGCTCAGTTGGCAAGATGTTAGGTACAAGCATGAATATCTGAACTTGAAACAGAGCCCGTGTGAGAAAACTGGGTGTGGTGGCCCTGGGGACACAGTGAGAGATGAATCCATGCTTGGTGAGCTGTGGTAGTTTGGAAAACAATGGCCCCCAAAGGGAGTGGCACTATTAGGAGGTGCGGCCTTCTTAGAGTAGGTGTGGTCTTATTGGAGGAAGTGTGTCACTGTAGAGGAGGGCTTTGAGACCTCATATATGCTCAAGTGGCCCCCGGTGAGATAGACCACTTCCATTGCCTGTGAGTCTAGATGTAAGAACTCTCAGCTCCTTCTCTAGCACCATGTCTGCTAGTAATAGAGTAAACTCTGAATTGTAAGTGAGCCACCACAATTAAATGTTTTCCTTGCCGGCGGTGGTGGCACACGCCTTTGATCCCAGCACTCGGGAGGCAGAGGCAGGTGGATCTCTGTGAGTTCGAGGCCAGCCTGGACTACCAAGTGAGTACCAGGAAAAGGCGCAAAGCTACACAGAGAAACCCTGTCTCTAAAAACAAAAAACACAAAATAAATAAATAAATAAATAAATAAATAAATGTTTTCCTTTATAAGAGTTGCCATGGTCATGGTGTCTCTTCACAGCAATAGAAACCCCAACTAAGACACAAGCTCCAGGCCAAAGAGACCCTGTCTCAAAAAACAAAGTGGATGGCTCCTGAGAATGACATCTGAGATTGGCCCCTGTCTTCCATATGTATGCACACACAGGAGGAGCATGCACACACAGGAGCATGCACCCAACACAGAAAGATGCCTTGACGAAACTTGTTACTTTGTATATTACTCTAAAAGTTAACTTCCAAAGCCTTTCTACATAAAAACATAAAATTATCCTTATTTGGGAGATACAAATGAAAATATTTATACAGGAGTCTGGTGAGCTGGTACATGTCTAGGACCCCAGCACTTAGATGGCCGAAATAAGATGATTGTAAGTTTGAGGCAGTCCTGGGCTGCATAGAGAGACCCTGTCTTAGAATATATATATTAAGATTTTATTTTTAGTCACACACACATATATATATATAATTATGTGTGTGTGTGTGTGTGTTTTGTGTTTTGAAACAGGGTTTTCTCTGTGTAGCCCTGGCTGTCCTGGAACTCACAATGTAGACCAGACTGGCCTTGAACTGTGAGATCTGCCTGTCTCTGTCTCTTGAGTGCTGGGATTAAAGGTGTGCACTAGCCCTGTCCAAAAAATATTTATTTTTATTTTATGTGTATGGGTTTTTTCCTAAATGTCTGTCTGTGTATCATATGTGTACAGAGCCTGTAGAGGAGGGTATTGGGTCCCCTGGGACAGATAGCTTGAAGCCACCGTGTGGTTGCTGGGAACCGAAGTCAGGTCCTCTGGTAGAGCAGCAGGTGCTCTTAACCACTGAGCTGTTTCTCCAGCCCCTAAAACAAAATCTTAAAAAGAAGGATTTGGTATAAAATGTAAGAATTTAGCCAGGTGCAGGCCACACACCTATAATCCCAGCATGGAGGGGGCTAAAATGGAAGACTCTTGAGTTCAAGGCCAATCTGAGCTACACAGGACACTCTTTAAATTAATTATATGATTTCAAACTATGACATGGAAAAGGTAAAACTTTAGTAAAATGTTAGTGGTCACTGGAGACTTGGAGTTCAGGGCACAGGGTGAGCAGGTGGCATGCAGAGCATTTTCAGGCAGAGGGATGTTTAGACTGTGATGGAGAGACAAAGTTTTAAACGTTTGCCAACACCCAAAGGACTTTTCAGCACCCAAACATGGCTGGCCTCTGGTGGTTTGTAAATGTCTGTTTATTTTTGTAGTACTAAAGGTCGGTCCTGGGGTTTCACAAATGCTAAGTAAATTGCTCTACCATTGAACTACATCCCCAGTCCAAGAGTAAATCCTTTTTCTTTTCTTTCTTTCTTCCTTTTTTTTTTTCTCTTTTCTTTTTGGTTTTCAGAAAGGGTCTTACTCTGTAGCCCAGGCTGGCCTGTATCTTACTCTATAGCTCAGGCTGGCCTGTACCTTACTATGTAGCACAGGCTGGCTTTGAATGTTTGGTGATCACCCTGATTCAGCCTCCTGAGTGCTGGGGTTATATATATTAGCTGCTACACCTAGAGTTAAGAGTGAATTTTAATATGTTTAACTTAAACAAAAACAAGCAAACAAACAAAAACTCAGAAAGACAGATGTCGTAGCGTATACCTATAACCTCTCCTACTTGAGAAGACGGTACATTTAAGGCCTTAAGGCCCTGTCTGGGCTACAGAGGCGGCCAGCCTGGCCCTGCCTCAAAATAAAAAAGTGAAAAGAAGGCCAAGAATTCAGCTTGGTTGTGAAACACTTCTCTAGCATGCATGAGGCCCTTGGTTCAGTTCCCCAGAATCACAAAATAAATATATAAATCAATTCAATTATTTAGGTCAGTGGGTCTCAGGAAGGAATGTGAGCTAAGACAAGAGAATCCAACTATTATATACAAATGAAACACCCTCAGTGAGAGGTTAGGGGAAGGAGTAGAGTTATTAATGGGGAAGGTAAGAGGAACCATACGTGAATTCTATTCCAAGTGGATAGTTTGTTCTCCACAAGGGCATGGATTTTTAATGATGTCACCCAGTGAATGGACAGTTGTGGTATGAGCTGGGCATCTGGATATTGAAGTGGGAATTTACAGATAAGCGGAGGACACTAGACAGGTACATATGGGGATGGATTAGTGTTGAAGCCATCGTTATGAACTCAGGTTTAGCTCAAATGTACTTAGAGAGGATTATATGGAGAGATGGCTCAGCAGTTAAAAGCACATACTGCCCTTGCAGAGGATCTGAATTTGACTCCAAGAATCCACATAAATTGGCTCACAATCCCCTGTAACTGCAGCTTCAGGGGATCCCACGCCCTCTTCTGGACTCTTCAAGCAACTGCACTCATTCATGCACACCCCCCTCCACATCTACACATAATTAAAAATAAGATAAAAATAAATCTTTAAAATGTAGGAGACCTAAGTCAAATGTAGCCAGGCATAATTGCACACAGCTATAATCACCAGAACTTGGGACACTAGGCAGGATGGTCATGACTTTGAAGCCAGCTTAGATTGCCTAGGAAGACCCTGTCCCGGGAAAAAAACAACAACAATAACAATAGAACAATAGGAAAAACATCCCTAAAAAGCAACAAAACAAACCCTGAGGGGAGCTGGTCAGCTTCAGTTTGTAATGATGCATCAGGATTGGTTCATCCACCGTAACTAAGTTTATTCCTACAGTTCTTATGTAAGACCTTAATAATGGGTTTGTGGGAGCTCTGCCATCTTCTCATATTTTCTCTAAACCTAGAAATATTCCAAAAATGAGACCAATGGAAAACCTAACCCAGTCATGGAGGAGTGAGTATGGTCCTGAGTTGGCCGCCCATGAGACTGCTAATGAGTGTGGGATTATAAAGGTAGACCAGTGTGGGTCTGGCAGAGGTAGGGCCCTCTTGGGGAGGGGCTGTACATGCTGGAGCCTGGAACCCTGATCTGTCACCAGGTGCTTTCTGCTGTGCCTCGGTTGGAATGTCTTCAGGGTCATCTCACACCCCTTCACCCCCCCCCCATGTCACCACAGTTGTGAATGCTCCTTTCCCACTGGCCTGCCTGTGTCAGGTCAGTGAGGTTCTATCATGGTGCCTGGGTCCCCAGCATCCTCCATCAATATCGACTTAAGGATTTTTTGACCCCTTGGGAAGGCCTTTCTTTTGTTTAGTAAAATTGTAACTTTAAACCAGTTCCACCTACCCCCATCCCCAAAGAAACAGAAGAACTCTGCTCCCTTGCCACGAGATGGCCCTAAGATATTTAAAGAACGCCATTTTGGTTCTCATTCAGCATTTCTGCATCCAGGCACCGTGCCAAGGCCCCCTCAGTTACTTTCTTTCTCAGGAGGAGGATTTTCCCTCCTGTTACTGATATGTCACAGTTTCCGGCCCCCACTGCCTTTTCTCTGCTGTTCATCGGGGG